TAAGGCGCGCAGAGGCCAGGGACCTTGTCGGCCACAATCTCGTGCAGCCGTGCTCGGTCGGTGTAGTTGAAGGCACTCTTGAAATCGAGGGAGAGCATGGTCCAGCCCGGGGTAGACTCACAGGCTTGAAGCTCACCAAAGGCCATGCCAACCGCAGCTGAAATGCCGTCCTTGACTCCGACAGCCAGCTCTGGACTGGCCTGTAGCAAGTGGGCAATATGGGGCTGCTGTTGCTCGAGCAGAGCGCGGTTGACAACCTTGTTGAAGATGGAATCCGTGCCCACGGGTCGAAACTTGCCATTGGCCTTCTCCAGGATAGTGTAGTTGATGGAGCAAAGGGCATGTCGAATCGACTCGGGCACGGTGTTGTTGGCAATGTGGTGAAAGATCTTGTTCAAGGCAACCTGAGGACCTCCAGTGGCGGTGGTGGGGCACTGAGGCGCGTCTCCATCAGGAGGAGCAGTCGAGGTGCTGGTAGAACCCTGGCGTGGGCCCAAGACCTGACTGAAGTGCTCCTTGATGCGGTAGATGGAGGCAAGAAGCTCACCAGACCAACCATAGGGGTCGGTGATACCCTTGGTGGCCGCCAACGCCTTGGGGAGCTCGCCCTTGGTGAAGGACACGGTTGGGGAGCTCGCAGCCGTGGCTGGTGCCAGTGTAGACGTGGAGGTGGGTGTCGAAGCAATGTACGGGGTCAGCCCGGGCGGTACCAAGAGGTCGCGCACGGCCTGAACCTCAGAATTACCAATCACGGCACGAGCCTTGTCGACATCAAATGCTTTGGCAATCTGACCTCGGTTCAGACGGTTCGTGACGTGGTTTGCCCAGGCTTCGTCCGCCAGGTCCGGGTCGCGGACGAGCGACCTGAGGCTCTGGTCGACTGCGTCGTTCGGGTGGGCGCCCGCGCCGGCGTTCAGCTGTCCTCGACGGCTCTGCTTGCGTGCGACTGCCTTGCGCATGGCGTCCACGACCCGACCTAGTTGCCCCGTCACAAGCCAACGGAGACGATCGTGAAACATATTGCGCAGGTCAATCGTAGACAGTGCGGTCGAGGGAGCAGACAACAACATGCTAGGCAAGGCCAAAATCAAAGCCCAGCACATCTCTCGCTCTTCAGCGGTATAGTCTGAATGGACGGCAGACCAATACAGCTGGCTCAGGGTGGCAGCCATCAGCTTGGTCTCGGTGGCGTTGGATGGGTAGCGGCTGCGCTGCATCAGTGGATGCCGGGCGAGCTTAAGCAGCTCGCAGACGCTGACGCGAGACCCTACACACTGTTGGGGCCAAGCGCCACGCATAATCTCAAGCAGGTCGTGTCCAGCCGCATGAAACAACGCCTCGCTCGCTCGCTTCAGATTGGCACCACATCGGGAGCGGTGTTGACTGATACCAGCAGCTTCGAAGAAGAGGTGACACTTGTTGCACTGGGCGACCAATTTGGCCTCCATCACCTGCTTGACCAGATCAGTGGCTTGCTCGTCGTAGGGGTGCTCGCGTAGTACATGATTGACCCAGGCTTTGCGGTCAAGGCGGGGCCCCTTGCATTTGCAAAGCCCAAATGGGCAGGCGAGGAGTTGCCTGTGGCCAGATGTCTTCAGCAGGACCTTGCGCTGGGCATCCAGCACGTTGGCAGCGATGGGCGGAGCAGGATCGCTGAGAAGAACATCTTGCTCACCCTCACTGTGTTCGCCCGCTGCATCGTGTGTTTCACTCTCACTGACTTCGCCAAGTGGGGCTGAGTTTGCATGCTCACTGTGTTCGACAGGATGTGAAATGGCAGCGGGCAAAATGGCAGTGGCAGGGGGTGAAGCCGAGGGCGGAGAGGGATCGGAATGGGTTTGCTGTGTATCCGATGGATCTGGCAGCACCATTTGAGCGGGTGTAGGTGATTGCACCAATGGCTCAGGCGTGGCACTGCCGTTTGTGTCACTGTCACCATCATGCGCGGGAGGGGCGATAGGGGTGGGCGCGCGGAGTGCGGTGGAGCGAGGAGGGGAGTCGCTTTCGTCCGAAGACATGGTCAAAAAATCCGATGGTGTGTTAGGAATCGAATGATGTGTCTGTCTCGCGGACTCGGGCGAGGGTTGCTGCTCCCCGCTGCCATTTGGCTCAGAGGGCACCGATGCTGACAAATCCTCGGTCATAGGGGCCGAAGATGTGGCAGTGGCGGCGGCAGGCATTGCCGCAGCAACTTGAGCAAAGGAGCGAGGGCTGGATGGCGTGCGAGGGGTGCGGGGAGAAGCATTGGAAGT